AAAAAAAACATATTTAGGTGTAATTTTTTGGGACCGGGAACCAATTAATTTCTTATGGGGAAAATGGGGAAAATTCGATCACAACTCGAACTTTTTAGTATTCGATCCGGAGTTCTGAACGGATTAAATTCGAGTTCTGAGGTACCACTGTATATTTATATTATACAGCCAGATTCATCCACCCAGATGGAACTTGCACAGTTTAGCTCTGTTTGATCAACTGTCCCTGCAGGGGGTATGTAACAGTCTCCTTCAGAATACCCACGGTGGAGACCTGCCACCTGAGACACAGCTGTGGCAAACCAGGAGGAAATGAGTCATTGTTTTCACAGTCAGGTCAGCCAAGGTGCAGGGAGAACACTGTGTGGTTCTAGCTGGACATTGTAGACACCAGGTTGGGACAGGGGACACTGTGCAGACCGGCTGCACTCAGGCACAGCCCAGAATGAATCTCCCACAGCAGAAGCACAGTGGCACTACTGTGCACGTGTGACACCATTTAATCAAACGGCATTTAAACACAGTTATAACAATCCATGGGATTCAGACAGATTTTAGGAACATTTAGCCTTTTAGTTTGGAATTCTGCGTTATACATGAGTACATCATTACACCTTACAGAAACAACCAAAACAGACTCTGTTGTTACTTCCAGCCCACAACCTTTTACCGGATAAGTAGCTATGGATGGATGAAAGTATGTCTAGCATGCTTTCATGGTTTAAAATAAATCTTATAAATTAATTTCTAAACAATGTAATTTCTGTTACAAATTATTCCTGACAATATTAAAACCTGGACAAATTCATTGTTAGAGCCTTTCACTGTCCTCACGGTCTTTATTTAGGCCTAAATTTACCTGAGTCATAATATGAAGATTCTAGTTGGAACTGAAATGATAATTGCTTTCAATTATACTACTAAAATTAAGTTGGAGTGTAAAATTGAGATCTCATAAATAGTTGATGCTATTAAATAGTTCAGGAGAGGTTTTCAAACTTTATCTATAAAGCACTTAAGTTAAGAATGGATGTTAAGAGAAGCAGTGCACTTTTTTATTTTAATCACACCACCTTTGTAGCCATGGAACAGAGCAGTAAAACTAGGCAGGTACTAACTGACATGTGCTAACACACATTTAGAATTATTATTTGTATCTAGAAGGCTTATTTGTATCTGTCTTAAAATTTCCACGCTGCTTTACTTTGTCAGATCAATCACAATACTTTTCACCTTGGTTTAAGGTGGGAAAAAGTGGCTTTTGTGGTGCTCTTATGTACCTTTATATAGAGTAGGTAATTGGCAGGTAGTAGTCTGAATGTAAAAAAAGAAACATCACATCCTTTGAAAACTGTTTTCTGCTGTGAGCCATAGGCCATAAGCCATTCTGTCATGTGGTTGTTGATAAATTGTTCTTGAAATACAGGTGTACACATCGGTACTTTTAAAATGGGACCTCAAAGGCTTTGCCGTTTATTTTATCATTATTTTAAGACAACTTAAGTGAAGAGCTGTTGCTGTTAAATGGGAAAAACGCAGTGGAACATCCATTTGAACTAGTGAGCTTTATCTATTGGTCTCATCTAGTCCTGTCTGCATTCCTTACCAGCAAACTATACAGCTATATGAATATCTGTTCAGCTCTAGTTCTGGAGCAGAGGATCCTTAATGATCCTGTTGCTTCATTTACAGATCAATGCAATGGCACACTCGCCTCGGCTCAAACAGTCTTTCTATTGCTGGCTCCTATACCAGATGGTGTAGAAAATGCTAATTATCTTTGTTGTCTTTGACCGGATTTTCCACCCTTTCATATCTAATGGTTGTCTTTGGAAACGAGGTAGGGGGAGTGTTTACCCCATTCAAATGCAATGTGGGGCACGTTTCTCGCTTCGGATCCGAGTCGCGCAGCGACCCGCACTTGAGTTACCGTAGCATGAAGCAAGGCCACAATTGCAAAGCAATTTAACTTTCTGCTTTGTCACATTATAGCGGCTTTTATACAGTTCTTACGTAATATTGAAGTTTCACTTTAAATTAATCATATTTGCATCTAATTTTGTATCCTCTTAAACTCCAGCATTTTATTCTGAAATGTAGACTGCAGTGAAAACCACGAGCTACGTGGATAATTTCATTCAGTACGGCCTTTGTAGCCTATTACAGTGTCTGCTTACCCGAAAATAGAAACCCAGGCAGAAATATATACATCTTTAAAATTAGTGTCTTGAGAGATTTCGAGTGATCTCACCAGTAGATGGCTACAGCTTCTATTACAAACTTATTGGTCTATAGATCTTCTTGTAAATGAAACGAACCAGGTGCTCTGTACAGCACTACACTCCAGACCAACCAAAAATTCAGATAGAACGGTATACGTTTTCCAATAATTTCAATTATTATTACTAATAGTCAAATTTCTCGGTTTACACCACCTGTTAAATTTATCATTACAGATTAAATGTATTTTTATGTGCGTTAAGTCGGAACTTCCCAGGTAAAATGACGCTACTGTTGCAAGCAAGGTGTATTATTTGTAGCATTTGTAACATTTAATGTCACATTTAAAAGCTTGCCAGTTTGTGTTCCAGCTGTGTAGTTCGTGATGTAATCCAAATTTACGCAGTGATATACGTTATTTTTCCAAAGTTGATATACAAATTGATGCAGTGCTGTACTCCGCGTACAAAAAACAATCGTTTGCTTGAATCGTTTTACCGACCTGCATATAATTCTTTGCAAAACCTCACGCGTCGTTTTATTTCCGCTAACACCAGTGTTATTAAAATATATTTTCTGTATAACGCCTAATCATTGTGAATGTCGCGTATTTGTGCGTGCGTGTTTTATTAATCCAAAAATATTGAAAATGACAAAATATAAATGTAAAAAGACAGATTTCGATTTATTAAGGAAATGGTCCTCAGATTTTTATTTCAAGAATCCATGTCACCAGTTAATGCAATCTGAAGCTAAACTGTATGTTTGAAGGCGCTAGGCTACAGGCAGTGTATCCATTGAAGAATGCCGATTTGGAATGTTTCATATACAGTATAGGCCTAGGCTATTGTATTATTACAACAGAGGTAGTTTTATTACTTTTGGGGAAATTTCTTTGCCAAGCACTTATTTGTGATTTCCATAGCAAATCGACGGATTTTGATGCTATATACGTTCAACGCAACGTAACTTTCGAAAAGTGAATAAAATGAGCCGTTGAATAAATTGAGAATGGCAAATATGAAATATATTAGCATGTAGTTCGGACCTACAGAAAAATATTTTGGGACAGAATTAAGTAGCCTGTTTACAGCGTTGATGTATTGCTGGATAGGTTTGGCAGGGCAGGTTTATGGCTCATGGGCAGGTTTCATCAGTCCAGTACTGAAGTAGCAAGGCAACGCCAGAACAACAACGTGTTAAAGAAAAGTCCAGAGTCAGTGTTAAACAAAATATCGCTTTACATATGTGGTAAATGGGCATCGACATATCAAACGGCTCAAAAGCAAAACTCAAATGACAGCTACATTGTTACCAATTACAAAAAAGTATAAAACTTTGGCTATAACACGTATTTGCAAATATGTTGCAACATAAATAATATAAGTTAAAACTTACTTTAAAAATAACCTGTACATAAAACCTATATACATTTAGATAAGTTATTAGACACAAACCGACAATATACTGATTTATATGTACATTTTTGCCAGTGTAAACATTCAAATGAAAATACAATTGCACAGTTAAACACTGTCCAATGAAGGTAACTAGAACAAAACTGGCACTGTATGCACAATTAACGAATCCTTTTGCGTGGCGTCAGTTCAACGGGAATTGCTTGAGCTGAATGCGGCGAGGAGTGTCCGTTTGGCTTCACATCAGTCATTCTTCTCTTTATAGCGTAATAATCTGTGGGGGAGGGGATAAAAGTAGATCATTTACAACCACTACTACTGCTACCACTACCACCACTACTACTGCTACTATTAATACAACAACATTACGTCACCATAACTGTAAGTAGAATTTTTCGAGAACGTACCACACGGCCATTTAATTTAGGCAATTAAAGAATTACATTTTTAAGAAGGTTTATACCTGTCATACGTGCCGTGGCACGAGTTTCCATAATGGCAGATAACGTTCTTTTGAAAGAGACGGCTTTATATTTATTTTTTTCTGAGCTGATTTTATCCGAGCAATTTTCTTGGTTTACTTCACTGGGTATGGGTAGGGTGACTTCGGAACTGCACAAGCGGTCCACCACAGGGGAGTGAAGCACATCAAGTGAGGCGCAGTTATTCTGAATCACGTCCAAAAACTCTTTTCCCTTTACTGACACAGTATTCCCCGCTTTCCCAGTTTGCGATTCCCGGTAGAAGACAGGCGTTGCATTCATCGGGATTTCCTCCCACTTGTATTCTCCAGACAAAGGTGTATCGGTCTCAAAATTAAAGTTCCACCTGCGCTTGTCCCGGTCTGAGAGCTCCCGGAGTTTAGATTTCATTTCACTGTTTAACTCGTCGTGGTCCACCGGCCCGAATAGATTCCTGCAAACACTGGTACGGGCATGGAGATGGAAGGTCCTCCGTGCAACGAGACGATCCAGGGTAGTGCTAGAAAGCTGGACATTTGACATTTTAATTTTTTTAAGTCCAGCGGGGCAAAAAAAACAAATGTTTGTGGTAGTCTTAAAAATCAGTGTCCTTCGATTTCCTGACGGAGTCTCGCCAGCTGTGGATATGTCCTTCTTTGCAGTCTGTCCTGACTGTTGTCTCTGCGCAACGCAGCATTTAAATGTATGTCCAGTCTAAGCGACGATCTCGTATTTAAAGTCCGTAAGGTGTGTAAGCCTGAATTGCCACATCGGCGAAGCCAGCCATTGGTCTATCTCTGCCCGGCCATTGAAAGCAGGTTACGCCTTCTGCTCTGAGTGCCTTGGGAGTAGTAACTATTTTCGACCTTCTCAGTGTATGGTTGCCAGGTCGTGAGACAGCATATATCCTCCGTGAAAAAACAGGTAATCTCCGACTGTAACACGTAGCCCTAGAAAGTTCAAGCTGTGATTTTACAAAATATTTAAATTTCATAATCTGGCCTTCTAGCAATTACATGTTTTTGAGTTTGCGTTTTTATAGCCCATATTATGGGCACGATAACTAAACATTTATAGTAGTCTGGTTAATCCTAAAACGGCTGGTAATTTCTGTTTGATGCCGAGGGTGCTTCACAGTGCGATGCGTAGATTTTGCCCCGTTTCTCTTTCCTAATTTCCCACGTTCATTTGTTGATTTTTTTTTATAAAAAACGAAATCTTTTCATAGAAAATAATAAGACCGAATTAAATCGAATGACTTCAAATGTTTATCAAAACACCCCGTGTAAACATCGACTCTTAACTGTTAACATAGACTCTTAACTGTCGATTATTATGAATAATAGACGTAACCCTGCTGTATCTATATATCATATATATATTTAACACAACCCAAAATTATTATTCTAATTAGGCATATATCCGCTAACATCTGTTTATGATTCCGTGACAGCCTACAAGTAACTACAGTATAACGCCAATATCTGCTTACCTATCGTCTGAGCTAGCTTAATTAGCATGATCATATAAGACAAATCAGGAAGTCAGGGCACAAATTTGGTGCAACTTTCGAGTAATACTCAGTTGTTAATCACATTTTTCTGATCAATTACAATATTCATATTCTGCCATAGATTTGTTCATGTTTATGTTACGTTTGGTAATTAAGTTCTATCACAATTAAGGCAAAGTGAGGTATTTTGCTTTTAGTAATTTGATCATAACAAATCAAAAGAGCAAGACTACTGCGACATGTAGTCAAAGTTGTGCGGGTAACTAATGTCATTTTAGTCAGCCTTTTGTCATTTCCTTACTTGACAGTTGTTTTCAATTAAATGTTGCCCCCTACTGGTGAGAAATGCGACGTAGCACTGTACATGTACGTGGTTTAGTTCTTGTTACTTCCATCCGTCAAACCACTTGCTGAACATTGTTGTTGGGCTGGACCTCATCCCAGACAGTACAGAGGGCAAGGCTAGGGTTCCGTGTCTTTACACTGCATGGAGGACATATACACACCCCCTAAAACAGATAGATAGCTAGATTCATGGCACCATCAAGGTGGGATATATGATATTTTACATTAGATACTATTCATTTGAATCAATGATGTACATTTTTCACAATAGTTATTGTTACAGAAGTTATCTGAAGCTGGAATCCTGGTTCAGTCCCATGGAAGGGTGACATTGTGGGTGTGACCTACAAGCTGTAACATCGTGGGTGCAGTCTAGAGTCAGTGTTAAACAAAATATCGCTTTACATATGTGGTAAATGTAAATGTAAAATCAGTGTGGGAAACTGATTCAGTAATGGACTTTGGCTTTAATCACACTTCACACCTTGATTTTAGCAAGCAAGCCCACTGGTTCTTTTTTTTTTTTTGGGGGGGGGGGGTGATTCCGAGGTCCCGTGAGTGACAGTGGTCCTAAAATTCTGGAACGTTTTCGGATTGGTCTGGGGGGGGGGGCGTGGCCAGTTAACCTTGGACCCCCAGAGGTCTTTTTTCTCACTGCTTTGGAGTTTTTGGTCATGAAATTCACTTATGACTTTTGGTTTCAGTGACACTACAGACTTTCAGTGCCCCCATCTGCTTGTGAATCATTTCTGGGGGTGACAGAGACAGACAGGCAGATGGATGGATGGATGGATAATCCACCTGAAGATCAGAAAATGCAAGCTTGCCACCATCCAGCACAGGCAGATTTGGCTCCAGGTGTGGAGGTGTGCTGCCATGGCCCCCGTTTACACAGGACAGTGAATGCTGCCATGGCCCCCGTTTACACAGGACAGTGAATGCTGCCATGGCCCCCGTTTACACAGGACAGTGAATGCTGCCATGGCCCCCGTTT